AGCTTATTGCTTGTTTTCAGGGAAGGCAGAGTTTAGGGAAACAAATGTTGATAGGTTCTAGGTTCTCTTGTGAAAACTAGCTTATTCAGTTATTCACATAATTTGGTTCCTCTGATTGGGGTTGGGGGGGATGCAGGTAGCAATTCACTTAACTTTTTTTGAATAGTAAATTATAAGATTATGATATGTTTTAGAGCAGGGATCCTCAGCTCCTGGGTCATGGACCAGTAATAGTCCTGGCCTATTAGGAAAGGGGGAGAGAGGCAAAGCTTCATCTGTATTTACAGCCATTCCCCATCATTTGCATTACTGCCTGAGCTGGACCTCATGTCAGATCAGCAGCAGCATAATTAGAGTCTCCTAGGAGTGCAGACCTTATTGTGACCTACACACCCGAGGGATCTAGATTGGGAGCTCCCTATGGGAATCTAATGCCTGATGATCTGAGATGAAACTGAAACAGTGATGCTAGCATTGGGGAGTGGCTGTAAATACTGCATTATGATGGGTGCTATAATTATTTCAGTATATATTACAATGTGATAATAAAAAACTGTACAATAAATGTAATGTACTTGAGTTATCCTAAAGCCAACCCCTACCTTCAGGTCTGTGGAAAAATTGTCCTCCATGAAACTGATTCCTGGTGCCAAAAAGGTTGGAGACCACTCTTGTAATTACCAGTGACCCAGGGTTCTTGTAAAGATTTATATTTAAAACCAAGCTACTTTTCTTAACACAGGTTTTTCTAGTACTTTATAAGTAAAGTAAGCTCTTAGAAGAAGAAAATTGGATGTCTGAGAATTATGAACAGTTACTCTACCTTAGCCTTAGTGTCCCTATTCCTCCCCTGACCCCTCCAGGTTCATCTACTAAGAGAAAACCATCTCCAACAAACAAAACTCCATAGTTAGCATTTCCTGGATCAGACATTATCATGGAGAATATTTAAGTATCTCTGTGCACCATTTGTATTCAAGTTGTGTAAGCATTTTCTCTTTATGTCTCTGGCATTGGCTATGTTTAGACAAATATGAACCACTTTAAAAGTTATATTTCTTGGGGCCAGCAGATGGCATAGCGGTTATGTTGCTGGACTCCCAAGTGGCTGACTGCAGTTCAATTCCTGCACCTGGTGACTTGAAACTCATACTGGGCATCTGTGTGTGGGTGCCTAAAATCCCTGGAGGAAAATGGAGGATGAGGGATTACAGCATGACCATCCCTGTAGGGGAGTGATTTCTCACTTTCCTTCTCACTGTCTCTGTCGTTCTCTCTCCAGTGAGCATACATGCCCTAAGGCAAAAACCTCTTAAAAACAGTTATGTTTCTTCAGCTGCTGTAGCACAAGTGATGCAAGTGCCTTGTCAGACTGGAAGCTATGTGACCAACCTCAAGTTCAGATTCTGAGGTAGGCCTGTAGGTACACCAGACAGACACAGATACCCACAATCCTGAGGAGTTATAAAGCTGGGAAGAGAGTATCACACCTTGATAAGATCCTCTTTCTTCTTCCCTTCACATGCTCATGTGTGCTCTATCACGAAAAACAGTTACATTTCTTTAGATACTGCTTCAATTGTGTTATCATCAGGGTTTTTTTTTTTTTTTTCTGTTGTGTCTCAGCAGAACATATGGACAGTCCAATTCTGAGTCCATGAATATTAGCAGTTTAAAAGTGCGGTTGGAAGCTAGCCAGATGGTGCTGTTAAGGTGGCTGGATTCCACATGGCTAAGTGCATGGTTCAAGTCCCAGATCTGGCAGCTTGGAAAAATATGCTGGGCACCTAGGCGTACCCAAAAATCCCAAGAGAAGAATGGAGGAGAAGGGATTGTGATGTGGCTGCCTTGAGGGGGAGGGTTCTTACTTTCCCTCTCTCCATCTCTCTCTGGTAGATTTCTTACTTTCCCTCTCTCCATCTCTCTCTGGTGAACGTATGCACCCTATAGCAAAAACTGAAAAAAGAAAAGTACTGTTTTTAGTTTAAATATTTGAAAGGTGATTTTGTTTGATGTTTTTGTCTTGCAGAACATTATAGCTGAACCATCAAGGTCTAACGGAAGCATCGTTCACCATTCTTCATCTTCATATGTTGTGTATCCACCTGATAAGCCTTTCCTTAATAGTGATCTGCGACGCTCCCCAAATAAGCCTACACTTGCCTATCCAGAAAGCAACAGCAGAGGTGAGAGAGCCTAACAAAATACATGTTGTATGTGTTTATTCACTGCTCTAAAATTTAGTTTCATCTTTCATTATTTTTAAGTTAGGGAATGATTTTCCCCTTCCTATTTTTAACTTCCTTAAAATATAATGCTTTTCTTCATTTGATTCTAATGTTGTTGAACATCATCATCCACTAAATCACCAAAGCTCAACCATTTTGAGTGTTTTATTACTGCTCTGGTACTTTCAACATCAGTCAGGAACCAAAACTTGCATTGTAGTGTCTAAATAACCCAGAAGCCTATTGGCTTTTATCTTTTCATGCCTTCTTGCTTTAGTTCAGCCTCTCATTGTCTGTTGCCTGGATATTTGTCATTCACTCCTAACTAATCTCCTCACCCATTGTCTTCTCATTTCTAGCTAACAACATTCCTGCCATTTTTCATTATAGTCATGTCCCACCTTAAAGAAAAAATGTTTGAACCCCTTTCCGTGTCTTACATCATAATAATAAAGCCTAAAATTTTTTTTTCTTTTTTTTGGAGAGGTTTTTGCTATAGGGTGCGTGAGCTTGCCAGACAGAGACAGAGAGACAGAAAGCGAGAAATCACCCCCCAGGGGGGATGGCCACGCCGCAATCCCTTCTCTGCCGTTCTCCTATTGGGATCTTGGGCACGCACGCACACGCGCCTGGCGTGAGTTTAAGCCACCGGGTCCGGGATGCGAATTGCGGTCAACTACATGGGAGTTCAGCGACATAGCCATTACGCTAACTGCTGGTCCCAAGCCTAAAATTTTTGTCATCACCTATATTTTATCCACCTTTACCACGTTCATCCCTAGCCTCTCTTCTGTCCTTCCTTATGTATTATCCTTTGCTCTGGCTGCTTTTAAATTATTAATTTCTGGAACTTGTCATCTGTATTCATTTTGTTATTGCCTTAACATTACTGCCACAGATTTAACAAATTAAGTAATAAATTTTATTATCTCAGTTTCTGTAAGTCAGAAATCTGAGAATCTGAGTGGGCTCTTCTGGGTCCTCTAAGGGTCTTTCAAGGTTTTGCTATAGGGTGCGTGAGCTTGCCAGACAGAGACAGAGAGACAGAAAGCGAGAAATCACCCCCCAGGGGGGATGGCCACGCCGCAATCCCTTCTCTGCCGTTCTCCTATTGGGATCTTGGGCACGCACGCACACGCGCCTGGCGTGAGTTTAAGCCACCGGGTCCGGGATGCGAATTGCGGTCAACTACATGGGAGTTCAGCGACATAGCCATTACGCTAACTGCTGGTCCCAAGCCTAAAATTTTTGTCATCACCTATATTTTATCCACCTTTACCACGTTCATCCCTAGCCTCTCTTCTGTCCTTCCTTATGTATTATCCTTTGCTCTGGCTGCTTTTAAATTATTAATTTCTGGAACTTGTCATCTGTATTCATTTTGTTATTGCCTTAACATTACTGCCACAGATTTAACAAATTAAGTAATAAATTTTATTATCTCAGTTTCTGTAAGTCAGAAATCTGAGAATCTGAGTGGGCTCTTCTGGGTCCTCTAAGGGTCTTTCAAGGCTGAAGTCAAGGTGTGGGCTAGGGTGTGTTCTTCATTGGAGGCTCTGAAAAGATCTGCTTCTAAGCTCATTCAGGTTCTTGACTAAATTAAATTCCTTATACCTTTGTACTGAGGTTTCATTGCTTTACTGTCAATCCAGGCCAGTTTCTGCTCTTAGAAACTGTCCTCATCCTTCTCATGATTTCCTATGGTCCAGCATCAGAGGATCAGGCTCTTTCCTGCTTCAAATATCTGACATCTGCTACATTTCCTCTCATTGCACTTAGAGTACATTTTCTGCTCATAGTAAATTCTGCAGATAACCAGGAATAATCTCAGTGTTTTAGGGTCCATAATCTTAAGATCTCCAAAAGTCTCTTTTGCCACATAACAAAGAACTGAAAGAGTTCACAGATTAGGACATTAGGCCTGGACTGACAGTAAAGCAATGAAACCTCAGTGCAGCAGGTATAAGGAATTTAATCTTTAGATTTTCAAAGCCACATGAAGATTTTTACATGCTGTATTCTCTTACTAACATTTTCTTTTTTGTGTGACTGTACATTATTTCCTTTGAGAAGTCTTTTTCTTTAGCTTCCCCAACATGTATGTCTCCCTGCCCTCCTAGATATTTTTTCTGAACTCTCTTGGTCTCTTGTTCATACCTCATGGTCTTAACATTTTTATGAGTGGGAAGGAAATGGAAGTTTCCTTTATTTTCTTTTTCTTAATTTTTGCTATCAGGTGCATGCATACACTGGAGAGAGACCAAGGGAAAGAAAGGCGGGTGGAAAGAATGAGAAATGACCTTCCAGGGGTATGACCATGCTGGCAGGCAGTCCCTTCTACTCCATTCTCTCCGGATCTTGGACATGCATACACACAAGCCCAGCGTATTTTCCAAGTCACTGGGTCTAGGACTCTAACTGCATACTTGGCCATGTGGGATTTGGCTGCCTTACCACCATGCCACCTGGCTGACCCAGAACATGGTGGTTTCTGTGTCCTTACATTTTGAAAGCAGGTATTGTTAAATTCATTCCAAAAAATAAAATACATAAATAAGTAAACAAAAAACACTGTAAAATTAAAATGGATTGTCATGATAATCATGACGTACTCCTTAAACAGTTCACAGTGCCTTGCTCTGAAGGCTTAAGGACAGCTTATTTACTGTCTTGTACAGTATTCTTTCTCTTCATTTTTCCATTTCATCTCTTTTCCCCTCTCTCACATTCTTTAAAACCACTAGCGATACACTCAAGTCACAGGAGATCCAAAATGAATTTGACCTAGTAACTTTAAGCTTCTAACTACTGATCTTAAGGAAATCTTTATGACCATTGGATTATATAAGGGAATGTTCATTTTGTAATATGCTAAAGTGGAAAACAGAACTTAAGATATATCTTGGTTTAGTTCTTTTACATATATAGAAAAAAATTAAAAACAAACAAAGATGATAGTCATTATCTCTAGGTAATGGCATTAATAGTTATGCATCTCATCATTTTATTTTCCTGTGTCTTCTACATTTTCCACAGAGACTCATAATCAGAAACTTCAGTATGGGGGAAGGTTACAGAGCACTTAGGTTTTTTCTTAACAGTGAAAAAATGTGCATTAAGAAATATTTCTTTTTGTGCTTAATTGTTTTTAACTATCAGTGGATTTTACATATTATCCTGCTAATAGAAAAAAGGTTGAGTTCATGTACTTTAGGGCACTTATGTGGCTTTTAGATGGTTAGGAAATTTTTTTGTCATTTTATAAAATCTCTGAAATGTTCTTACTGTAGTAATTTTTTTTTAATAACAAAATACTTGAGAGGCTCAAAAAATAGCTTTAAATGGGTTTTGTATTGTTTCCATTGATCCTATATTAGATATACCCATCAGTTTTATTTGTCTTTTTATTCATGTTAAAATTTGTATCTGCACATGTGAGAGGAAGAGAAAGAAAAGCGCTCTCTACAGGGATTGGTACACTGTAGTCTCCATCCTCCTGTCCTTTCATCTGTGAGGATCCTAGCCATATGCCCACACACCCAGCATGTTTTCAGGCCAACCAGCTGGGACTACAACCATGATCACTACGTGCCTTACAGCTTCACAGTCCAATAAATAGTATTTGACTACTAACTACACCATAGAAGCTGGGCCTCAATTTTATTTTTTACTCAGATAAGTTTATTTTATTTTTTAAAGAATTATTTTATTTAACTTCATTTGTTTGTTACATAGATTTTTATTTTAATTTGGCCAAAGAGGGAGGGGGAATTGAGAGAGAGAGAGAAAGCCTCCAGGTCCGGGATTTGAACCATTGTTGGCCATGTGGGAGTCCAGTGTCTTTAACCACCACACCACCTGCTGACCCCCAAATAAGTTTTATTTTTTTCAGTATACTTTCTCTGTGAATATGGTTATCTCACATTTATCTGTGTTTATATTTGGCAGCCATATTTTCTGCTCTGAAGAATCTTCAAGATAAGATTCGACGCTTAGAACTTGAAAGAATTCAGGCAGAAGAAAGTGTGAAAACTTTGTCTAGAGAAACAATTGAGTATAAGAAAGTACTGGATGAACAAATACAGGAAAGGGAGAATTCAAAGAATGAGGAATCAAAGCACAATCAAGGTTTGTTTACTTTTAGAGGAAATTGAATTCTATCAAATTAAGTAGTATAAAATTATTCTAAAAGAAATTCCATGTTAGTATTTTCTACTGTTCAGTGTTTTAGGCACTACAAAATTGCTTTATACTTGAATGTATTTTGAAGAGCAAGTGCTGACCTCATGCATCATGTTTCCTGGATGCAAATCCAATTTGAGTGGCATATAGAAAGAGATCTGGGTAATCTGGAAAGGCTCCTAGGGCTACTGGAAGGTGGATACAGAGTCGACTCAGTTCTTGTTAACAGCTTATTAAAACTGTTCTCTGCAAGAGCCAGCAAATAGCATGGTTAAGGCGATGGATCCCACATGGGCACCTCAGTTTAACTTTCAGATCTGGCAGCTTGAAAATCATGTTGGGTGCATGTGCTTGTATGCCCAAAATTCTGAGAGGAGAATGGAGAAAAAGGGATTGCGGCATAGTCGTTCCCCGAGGTAGTGATTTTTCTCTCTCTCTCTCTCTGGCGAGTGCACTGCAGCAGAGCATCTAACATCTAATTGGTTAACCAGTAGCACATCTTTTGCTCTATGGCAAAAATCTAAAAAAATCAAAACAACTATTGGAGTGTGCAAGCTGATTTATGCTTCTTTTTGTATTCTTTTTAGAACTGACATCTCAGTTGTTAGCTGCAGAAAATAAATGTAACCTTTTAGAAAAGCAATTGGAATACATGCGAAATATGATAAAGCATGCAGAGATGGAGAGGACATCTGTCTTAGAGAAACAGGTATGGCGCCTCACGGACTCACACTTAAGGACAGTTAGTCTTGGTGAAGATTAACTGACCTAGAGATTTTTTTTCCAGTGAAAACTAATGATGCTGTTATAATAGCCCAGGACTGAAAATGTCTTAGGATCAGTTATGGTATTAGAAGGTTTTATTCACTTTCTTTATAATTGTTGTGTTTGGTAAAATTCTACCTAAATGGAAAAATAATATAATTAGTTGTGGACTATATTACAGTCATGTTAATTTCTTTGAATCTATATTATAATATACAATTAGTCATACACTTTTTAATTTGCTTATTGATTAAAGCAAGAAACCAGATTAAAGGTTCTTTATAATGCGTTAAGTTCTTTACAGTTGTTATTTTAACAGTATTTTTTGCTTTGTTACTGTATTTAAATAACCCACACATTTTTGAGAGAACATCTATGCCAGTCTCAAATATTTTCTGAAACATTTTTTCTCTTTTTATAAATCTGGAATTCGAACTCATCCCTAATACCATAATTTCTGGACATCTTTATTATGTAAAATTTGAATATGTAGGGCCAGCAGGTGGTATGGAGGCTAAGGTGGCTAGATCCCACATGATCCATTCCAAGGTTCAAGTCCTAGACCCGGTGACTTAAAAATTACACTGGGCACATTTGCATGTGTGGGTGCCCAAAATCCCAAGAAGAGAAGAGAGAGAATTATGGCATAACCAACCCGTTAGGGGATGATATCTTACTTTCCCTCTTTCTGTGTCTTTCTGTCTATGTCTATCTCAGTAAGTGCACATGCCCTATAGCAGGATTTAACAAAAATTTCTGTATATGCTTAACATTTTGCTAGATGCTCTGCAGGTATAAAAGAGAAATATTGTATATGTTTATATAATCAGCTTTTAGTCCTAGTTGAAGAGATTAGACCTAAAATAGTAGAATAAGCATAAAAACTATTTGAGAGGCTGTTTCACAAATTACTTTTCATGATTATCGTAAGTATGTTGTTACAACATTAAGTTTATTTCAGTGATCATATTATTTTATTTCCTATTGAGTCTTTTTTCTTTCACTTTTCTTCCTGTTTTTCTTCACTCTATTATCCTCTCAGGATTTGGAGCATGCACACACATGCTCCCAGCATGGTTTTCAAGCCACAAGGTCCAGGACTTGAACCGCAGGCAGCCATGTGGGAGTCTAGTGCCATAACCATGCTATCTGCTGACCCCAATGTTTTTTGTTTCTTTATGGGAATTTTTTCCCCCAGGTAAACATACTGTTTAGAGTTCTGATATGTACGTGTACACTCTACTCTGTGCCAGCAGGTGGCATGGTGGTTAAGGCATTGGATTCCCACTTGGTCTACTGCAATTTGAGTCCCAGATCCAGCATTTTGAAAATACTGCCGGGCAGGTGTGCATGGGTACCCGAAATGTTAGGAGGAGAATTGAAGAGAAGGTATTGCAGCATGGCTAGTCCCCCCTGTAGGGGTGATTTCTCACTTTTTCTCTCAGTTTCTCTCTCTGGTAGGCTTACATGCCCTATAGCAAAAACCTTAAGGAAAAAAAAGAATAGCAAATAGTAAGAACTATATTCTGTATATCCATCATTAACTGATGCTCTGTGTTTTCATCTTAATGCTTTTCTAGAATTCCTCTGTGTATCTAAGTAGTTCTATGAAAGGACAAATAGTACAGGATGTATTCCTTTTTTTTTTTTTTTTTAAACTTTATTTTTTTTTTGACCATAGTGAGACTGAGTGAGTGAGAGAGAAAGAGAGAAGATGAGAAAGCAAGCCACCAGGTCTGGGTCTCAAACCTTGGTTGCCCAATGGGAGTCCAGTGTTCTTAATCACCACACCATGTGCCAGCCCCATCATAGAGTGTATTCTAAGTTATACTCTATTGGATGTTTTTCCGTGTTTTGATTGTCAAATTTTCATGCTATATTTAACATTGTTTCCTAGGTTTCCCTAGAAAGAGAACGACAGCATGATCAGACACATGTTCAGAGCCAACTTGAAAAACTGGATCTTCTTGAACAGGAGTATAACAAACTTACAACAATGCAGGCCATTGCAGAAGTTAGTGCATGTATCTTACTCGTTGATGTATAATACCAGGGTTTTTTTTTTAAAAAAAAATTTTTTTTTGAAAGATTTTTCACTATAGGGCACGTGCGCTCGCCAGACAAGAGAGAGACATAGAGACAGAAAGCGAGAAATCACCCCCAGGGGGGATGGTCACGCCACAATCCCTTCTCCTCCATTCTCCTCTTGGGATCTTGGGCACACATGCACACACACCCAGTGTGAGTTTTAAGGCACCGGTTCTGGGACGCAACCGCGGTCGACTACGTGGGAGTCCAGTGACATAGCCATTATGCTAAGTGCTGGTTCCCTAAAAAATATTTTATATCATTAGATATTTACAGCAGTAACAGTGATCTTACAGCAAATAAATGTGTTTTAAGAAGAAAAAATGTGGGGGCTGTTATGCAGTACAGTGGGTAAGACACAGACTCCTACATGGCCAATTGTGATTTGAGTCCTAGACCTGGTGTGTTGAAAATCATGCCTGGCATGTATGCATGTGGTGCCCAAAATCCTGAGAGGAGGCTGGAGGAGAAGGGATTGCAGCATGGCCATCCTCGGAGTGGAGGGGGCCATCCCCTGGCTCTGTTCCTGTGAGTGCATTCACCCCATGGAAAAAAAGAAAGAAAAGAAATATGAATCTGGAGAAAATGTTCATATTTTACAATTTTGGTGTGCATGAGGGAGTTCTTTTTGAAAATATTAAAGGATTTTTTGCCTTTTGGCCAGAATCTCCATCTTCCATTAATTAACCAAAATGACGAACACAAAGGAAAAAAAGGGAAAGAGGAGAGGCACCCAATATATGTTCTCTAGGCCTTTCAGAAAACATGGAGTTGTTCCTTTGGCAACATATATGTAAATCTACAAGAAAGGTGATATTGTAGACATCAAGGGAATGGGTACTGTTCAAAAAGGAATGCCCCACAAACGTTACCACGACAAAACTAAAAGAGTCTAAGGACCAGCAGTTGGCGTAATGGCTATGTCACTGGACTCCCATGTGGTCGACCACAGTTCAAGTCCCGGGCCCAGTGGCTTAAACTCACGCTTGGCGCGCTTGCGTGCATGCCTATGATCCTGAGAGGAGAATGGAGAAGGGATTGTGGTGTGGCCATCCACCCTGGGGGGTAATTTCTTGCTTTCTGTCTCTCTGCCTCTCTCTGTCTTTCTGGCAAGCGCACGTGCCTTATAGCAAAACCCTCTCAAAAAAAAAAAAAAAAAAACCACAACTAGAAGAGTCTACAGTGTTACCTCACATGCTACTGGCAAGATTCTTTGCAAGAGAATTAATGTGTATATTGAGCATATTAAGCATTCCAAGCAGAGGCGGTTTCCTAAAATGTGTGAAGGAAAATGACCAGAAAAAGAAGGAAGCCAGAGAGAAAGGTACCTGGGTTCAACTGAAGCGCCAGTCTGCTCTACCCAAAGAAGCACACTTTGTGAGAACCATTGGGAAGCAGCCTGAGCTACTGGAACCTATTCCCTATGAATTCATGGCTTGATGGGTGTTAAAAATAAACTAATCTGTGTTCTATTAAAAAAAAAGTTGAAAGATATTTAAGTATAAAAATGTTTAAATTATTTTAAGTATCCTTAAGTCTTGCCTCACTTGACTTAAGTTCTCTGAATCAGTTTTAGTTTTAATTGTTTCATTTGGGATATATTTAATACCCCTGAGAGTAACAGAATTAGCCTCCATGTATTCTAACTTACCTATATATCCAGGGCTCTGTTTTCTGGCTATAGATTCTACTCATAATTGTGTCCAACTACCTCCCAGCTACCTCATAAATGACTAATAATTGATCTCAAAGAAGAGCGTTATTGATGATGGTAAGCCCAGACCTGTTACTAGAGTGAACTAACAAGTATGTATTGGCTGTACTAAAATATATAGTATATTCCTTTATTGCTGTGTTTGGATTTTACAAATAGACAATTAAGACTTTTCACTAGTATACTTTTTGGTATTTTTAGAAAAAAATGCAAGAGTTGGAAGCAAAACTCCATGAAGAAGAACAGGAAAGGAAACGCATGCAAGCTAAGGCAGCTGAGGTAAGTTGAAACATGAACAAGTAGGCTGCTTGTGGTTCTCACTACTCCTTACATATAAATAGTTTACATTTGGGTACCTTAGCTTATTTATATTTTAGAATAGTCTAGTTTACACATTCTCAGATACAGGCTAATGTGGAAAATTATAAACATGTATATATTTTTTTTAACATGTATATTTTTATAAAAGTAAAATTAGAGCAGTTCTTTAGACAAATTATAGAGTTTCAGTCAGCATTTAAAAAATTAATAGACTAGAACATGTCAGAATCTATACACATGACACAGCAAGTATTCATGTAAAACTTGCCATGGGTCACTATTGGAAATGTTCAAAAGCTGTCTTTGGATAGTCTCCATATAGGTACTACTTTTCTTTAGTGGCCTTACAACACCATGACAGAGGTTGACATTGTGGGCTGCCCCAGTTGTTAGTGACCCATACCAGTTCAGAGAAGCTTTCACATCAGGAAACAGTATACTCTTTCTTGGTTTCATATATTATCCTATGCAGTAACCAACAGGTAGAATAGGTGACATGGTGTGGATTCACAAAAACATTTCCCTTCATTATTAAGACTCTCGGCAAAATTGGGGTAGATGGGACATTTCTCAACATAATAAAAGCCATATATGACAGACCTACTGCAAACATTATACAGAATGGGGAAAAGCTAAAAGCCCATAAAATTGGAGAACACAAGGCTGCCCACTTTCTCCATTCCTTTTTAACATAGTGCTAGAAGTCCTAGCCAATGCAATCAGACAGGAGAGCAAAATAAAAAGTATTCAGTAGGAAAAGAAGTTGTTAAACTGTCCCTATTTATAGATGATATGATTACATAGAAAATCCAAAATAATCTACCCCCAAAAAACACCTGTAAATGATAAATTAATTCAATAAAGTTGCAGGATACAAATTCAATATACAAAAACCTATAGCATTTTTATATACCAACAGTGAACAGACTGAGACAGAATTGAAGAAAGTAATTCCATTTATAATAGCTATAAAGCAAATAAGATACCTTGGAATAAATCTAACCAAAGATTTATAGCTATCTATAAGGATAGCTATAAAAATATATTATCCTCTACAAGGATAACTGAAAAACTGGAAAAAGAAATTGAGTATGGTACAAAACAATGGAAGGACAATCCATGCTCTTGGATTGGAAGTTCACATAAAGTGTCAGTTCTACCCAAATTAATATATATATTCAATGGAGTTCTGGTCCAGTTACCTGAGATTCTTAACAGAAGTAGGAAAAAAAAATAATAACAATTTGTCTGGAATAAAAAAGATAACTTGTATTGTAAAGACAATACTGTATCAAAAAAAAAAAATAAGCATCTCACTACCCGATTTTTAAAGCATATTACAAAGCAGTGATAATCAAAAGAGCATGGTACTGGCACAAAAATAGTTACATAGACCAATAGAACAGAATAGATTCCAGAAATAAACCCCAAATCCTAACAGTCAACTGATCTTTGATAAAGGGTATGAGATAGTACAGTGGAGAAAAAGTCTTTTTAGCAAATGGTGTTGGAAGAAATGGATATGCATCTGCAGCAAAGTGAAACCAGACCCCTGTCTCTCACCATTAACTAGAATTAACCCAAAATGAATGAAGGATTTATGTAAAAAAAAAAAAAAAAAAAAGCCTCTATAAAACTACTAGTAGAAAACATAAAGCACAGGCAATTGTCCCTAAAATAGACAAGATTCCAACCAGCTAAAAAGTAAGAATGGCAAATGATGGTGAGAAGGTAACTCTTACATTGTCGATGGGAATGTAAATTAGTACAGACTTAGTGGAAGACAGTATGGAGGTTTCTCAAAAACCTACAAATAGAATTTCCATATAACCCAGTACTCCCACTTCTTGGTATTTACTCAAAGGATAGGAAAACACTTAATTGAAAAAGACATCGGCACAGGCATGTTTATTGCAGCATTATTTACAGTTTTTAAAACATGGAACCAACCTAAGTGTCCCAAAACTGATGCCTGAGTTGAGAAACTGTCACATAAGTACTATGGAATATTTTACAGCTGTAAGAAACAATGAGATCTTATTGTTTGACTCAAAAGGATGAGTATAGAAGACATTATGTTGAATGAAGTGAGCCAGACTTTGAAAGACACACATTGCATATCTCTACTCAATTTGTACTGAGTGTCTGTGGCAGAGGTTGAGACACTTGAAAATGTGTTGTTGGAGGAGAGGGATATAAATGCTAGAGTCTGTAAGGAGGAGAGGGTTGATGGTACAGAATAGGACGTGGTAGGGGATGAGAATGATGTACAAGAAGAAGAAACATTTGACAGGTGGAAGAAAAAAGAACCAAGTCTTGATTTTTAGAAGATACATCGCAAGACTGCTAAAGTAAGCCTTATAAACTCAAGGAAATAAATTTTTTGTGGTTTTAATTGGAGACTCTCCCCTTATGAGCTTATTTGATGAAATATCTATCTCCCACCTATTCTCCTTACCTTTCCAGGGTCTATAATTTTTATGACATTTGCATGTATCTTGTTTTATATTAACACCAGAAGCAGATCCTAATTCTGAAACAATTAGGAGTGGAGCCTCTGCAAATGTTATAGTACCCTGTGATCACCTCATACATGTGACCATAGGAATAGAATCTATTTTTCTTATCTTAGTTTCCTGTCTCTTCTGGTGCTCCTCTGAATAACAGTTCAGTCAACAACTTAATGTACTTTCTATTAAATCTGATCATAGTTCTTTTTCAGATATTTACTTTCTGATCAATTTGTATATGTTCAGTTTTTTCCTTCAGTGTATTTTTGGTTATTTGACAACATGGCTTTATTTTTGACCACCACAAATTTTTCTTTGCTCATTTCAATTTTAGGGTAGGTACTTTACTGTGTCTCCATCTCATTACTTGTAATGTGCAAACATGATTTGTCTTTACCTGGAGACCTCAGAATGTGGAAAAATGGAATTAAAGTATGAATTTACTTTTGTACAAGATATTTTGAGGTTCATGCACAGTTTTTCATAATGTGCCTTTTGCATAAAGAACCCTTATATATACATTGTGATAAATACATTATATATGAAATTTGAAATTTTATAAATGTATTATGAATACATTCATAAATTTTTAAGTTAATTTATATTTTTTGTTTTCTTTTATATTTAGCAGACAATAAGGAACCAAATCAGTTGTAGCTTATATTATCAGTAAAGATTTTGAATTTTGTTTTTAAATTGCCAGAGGGTATGTGCTAGCCAGAGACAGGGAAGGAGCATTTCCTAGTGGGCCATGGTCTAGCTGCAGTCCATTTTCCATTTCTCAAAACACACATGCACTAGCACCCTCTATGTCTTTCAAGTCACTTGGCCCAGATTTGAACTGCAGTTGGCCATGTGGGATCTGGCTCCATTAACAATTAGGTTACAGGCTGACACAAGATTTTTTTAATTTTTTTTAAGAGATTGTTGCTATAGGGTGCATGTGCTCTCCAGAGAGACAGAAAGAGAGAAACCATCCCTCAGAGGGGATGGCCATGCTGCAGTCCCTTCTCCATTCTCTTCTTGGGATTTTAGGCATACACACACATGCGCCCAGTGTGAGTTTTAAGCCACTGGGTCTGAGACGTTTTGAACCACAGTCAAGTATGTGGGAGTCCATTATATAACCATTATGCCATCTTCTGCTCCCTGGCACAAGATTTGAAGTTTTGATTTGAACACATTGTAGCGGAAGATCAGTGGCCAGAAAAAAATGGTTACATGTCTAGATAATCATAATTTGAATATCTTTATACAAGTCATTTAACCATTCACAGCCTGGATTTTGATAAAGTGCCTATTGTTTTACATCATCTTAGTGCTGAGGGGAGGAAATGAGGTAAAAGATAATGAAAGCTGGCTTTATAGCCTAGTGGCTAAGGCAGCCAGATCCCATGTGGCCAACTACAGGGTTCAAGACCCAGACCCAGTGTTTTGAGAAACACATTGGGCACTTATGCTTTGTGCCCAAAATCCTGAAAGGAGAGAGAGGTGGAAGAGAAGGGATTGTGGCATGACCATTCCCTATGAAAGCGTGCTTTCTCCTCTTTTTCTCTTTCTCTTGCAAGCACATGTGTCCTCAAGGAAAAAAAAAAATAAAAGTGTAAAACTGTGGCACACAAAAAAAATGGATGAGAAAAACGAAATAGGCTGTGTTTTTACAAAAATTTTAAAAATTGGGGACCAGCAGTTGGCATAATAGTTATGTTGTTGGACTTCCATGTAGTCAACTGTGGTTCAAGTCCCAGACCCAGTGAGTTAAACTCACGCCAGAAGCATGTGTGTGCATGCCCAAGAGGATAATAGAGGAGAAGGGGTTAAGGGGTGGCCACCCTCGGGTGATTTCTCACTTTCTGTCTCTCTGTCTTTCTGGTGAATGCATGCGCCCCATGGCAAAACAAACAAAAAAACTCTCCAAAAAATTTTTTAAAAGTGTTCTCTTAGATACTGTTCACAGTAATTGGCCTGTTTGGTCTTTCATAGTAATTGCTTATTGGTTACAGTATATCTAGTCCATTTCCTATGTCTAAAGTGTTGCTAGATATGTGACAGTGTACAGATGCTCCTGAGGGTAGAAGTTTTTAATTACATTCCTTTGTCAGTGAATAGATTCTGTCATCAGAGAGTGCAGTGTGGGAAGCATTAGTAATGAGGTCAGTATTTCTTTCTACCTAATTTGGTTGGTTCTAGTTCCGTAATAACTGGGGAGGCTTTTAAATACAAATGTCCTCAACCTGAGAGGTTCAGAATCATGAGGTCTAATGAAAAGAGAAGCCTGGCAATGTGAAGTTCTCTTATAAACTCCATATAGTTTTGATTCATAGGCAGGTTTAAAACAACCACTATTCTGGGAATTGTTTATTTATTTATTTATTTTTAAATAATTAGAAGTTTGGACTAAGGCAAATAATAGTCTTTCTTCTCCTCCCCCCTTGCCCCCCACACCACCGAGACAGAGAAAGTACAGAGGAGTAGGAGGAGAGAGGGAATTGATTGATTGATTAATTGATTGACAAAGTCTTGTTTGTGCAACCCTCTGCCCCGGTCTCTTAGTTAGCTAGGATTATAGATGTGCGCTCCATGCCCAGTGTGTTCAGGTTGGTCCAAGATCTGAGCCTGGGCCTCCTGTGTGGCCTTAGCTTCATGTGGCCTTAGCTTCATATGTCAGTGCCCTCCTCTTCCGCCATTATGGCTGGATAGCGGTCCTTTTTCAAAATCCTCAGTAATTGCTTGTGGAATGTCTACTGTATTATTTTTAAGTTAATGTAATTGCTAAGCTTCTGAGAGAAAAGGGCTGCATTATATTTGCTGAAATACCTTTCAGTTGTTTTGGACCTAAATTTCTAATTGTTTTTTAGGTACACTGCAAATGTATGAGTTTTTAAGAGAGGAAGAAATTAAACTTACTCTTCAGCTGCCTTTTGGCTGGCACCATGTTGGATGTTATTTTTAAAAACTGAAAATATTGAAACTTTGAAGTTCCATAAATTAGATTTAATTAGATAGAATTTATAGAGCAACTACAAATAATGGCGCTAAAGTATTCCAGACTGAAGAAAGGAAAATTTTTTAACACAGTTCTTCAAGATAAAATAAGAAACTAGTGTTGATTTAAAATATTGGGTCATCAGAAAAGTCATGTGTATTTTATTTTTCTATGCAAAAATGCGCCACGACTTTTCAGGTGACCCAGTAGTTGAGGAGTGTTGACAGGTCTACGTAGTTATACAGCTGTCATGTGTTTATCGTTTAGATAGCATTAATTTTAGGCTCTTCTGTTTTTTCCTAGTTGCAGACTGGTCTAGAAGCAAATAGACTTATCTTGGAAGATAAGGCGACTTCATGTGTTCCCAGTGCAAAAAGAATTAAAAAAAAGAAGTCAAAACCACCAGAAAAGGTATGCAAACAGAACCAGGCAATATACTGATTATTTGGTGTGATGTATGTAAAAAACCATGGAGTACACAACCTTAGGAGAGTAAACTCTTATTCCTAATTTCTTCATTTGGAATGTGGGGAAAAGTCATATCTATTCTTAAAGTTTTTCCCTAACAGTGAGACAATATATATGAAAACATTGTGGAACTATAGAATACTGTATAAATATGAGTGTTTTTATTCAGTATTGCATTAATTGCCTTTTGCTCTTAAAATCTTTTGTTTATATATACTTTTTTCTCTACTTAACTATAACTGCTGTTTGGTCAGGTGGTATTTCCTTTTCCCTAGTGTTTCCTAGGCTAGGATATATATTGAGAAGTTTTGTTATGAGCCCACACGAGAACATAATGCCATTGTAGAAAAGGCAAGTAAGCAGTGGCCCAGTAGTAAACCGAAGTTCTTAGATTATGTATAGTCAGCTTTTATCATCATATAGGTAAAATAAAATTGTTTTTTATTTCTTTCCACTCAGAAAGGCTCTAGAAACTATTTTGGCGGACAGCCACATTATAGATTATGCTTGGGTGATATGCCGTTTGTAGCTGGAAAGGTGAGTTGGTTGAACCCTGAATGTTTTTTAATACAACTTAGATCTTTGCTTTAATTCCATGCATGTGCCCGTATGCCTGTAAATGGTGGAAATATTTATCTGCCCTCTTCGCCAGTGTGGACCATGGTGATAAAAGAATGAGAATGAGATTGGGGCAGGTTTTATGGGATTAGGGAAGCAGGGGAAAGGTAAAGGGGATACTTCAGAGTAAATAACATGTTATGTAGAAGGGAAGGGATCAAAGCAGAGATGCTGGTTTGTAGGCATCATTGCAGGTAAGGGGCCAAAGAAATAAGAAACAGTGTATTTGTAGCACTGGATTTTTAGTATGAATTCTGTTGATTTTTAATTTAGATACAGACAGCTATTTAAATAAGCAGGTATAACACCCAGATCTCCACTAGTTTTAGCTAATCTGGGAATACTGACAAGTGATCACTTAAAATAATATGAAGTAAATTATTTAAAAAATAAACTTTAGTTCAAAACAAAACAAAAAAACCTGAAGGATAGACCAGCAGAACAGGTAGTTACAAGTTTAAGATATCAGCCAATTTTTGTTTCAGCTTTGAATCTCATGTCTAAAATCTGTAATATTAGGTCACTGGGAATGCCATTTTATACTTTCCTATGCAAAAAGTGTGTTGTGACTTCCCTGGCAATCCAGTGGTTTTCCTTCCCTCAGCTGAGAACTTTCTGTCAGGTTCTTATCTTTGTTATAAAGTAACGGAGACTTAGGTGAAATGTTTTTATTTGTCAAACTGCTGTATCAATTGCCTAGGACCTCAGCAGCCTCATGAAGTCTGGAAATGTTCATGCATAAAGTTATCACCTTAACTGCCTTAAAACAGCTCCATACAATGATACATATTAACCCTTAGTGAAGCTTTTTTTTTTTTTTTTTTTTTTTGAGAGAGAGATTTTTTTTCTGTAGGGCATGTGCACTTGTCAGTGAGACAGAAAGCAAGAAATCGCCTCCCAGGGGGATAGCTATGCTGCAATCTCTTCTCCAGTCTCCTCTCAGGATTTTGGACATGCATGCACACGTGCCTGGCGTTTTTAAGCCATTTTGTCCAGTATTCAAACCGTAGTCGACTACCTGGGAATCCAGCAACATACTCATGCCATCTGCTGGTCCCAGTGAAGGTGTTTTATAAAAAAAAAACACAGGTTGAAAAATGTTTAAGTTAAAGAGTCAAATATAGCATATGCTTATAGAGCTATCAACTTAGGTATTCTCTAAACTATTTAATCTCACAGAGAAGTTTTTCTCAAAATCTGGGTAAGTACAACATTCCGTACTCCAGACCTACCATTTTTCATCACCACATTATCATCTGCTCATTCTACTTCTGGTAAATCTACGTACTCATCAACACCCATGTTGTTCATCTCAGGGAAATGACCACTATTAGACGCATGTGACTTCATCTGACTCACCTGCCCAGTCTTTCCAATGACTGAAGTCCACACTAAGCCAATTAAGTTATACTCTTGTGAACAGTGGCCATGACTACATGACTAGGCTTAGTTTCCTTTCCATAAACAACATAAAATTAGTCTATCCTTTTTTTTTTTTTTTTTTAAAGAGAAAAGATTATTGCTATAGGGTTGTATTGCTCACCAGAGAGAGACAGAGGAACAGAAAGCAAGAAATCATCTCCTCCCACTCTCCCCACCACCAGAGGGATGGCCATGTTGCAATCCCTTCTCCTCCATTCTCCCCTTGGGATTTTGGACGCGCATGCACAGGCACCCAATGTGAGTTTTAAGCCACTGGACCCAGGACTCGAACTGCAGTCAACCACGTAGGAGTCCAGGACATAACCATTATGCCATCTGCTGGTCCCAGTTTATCTGTTCTTTTATGCTTGGAATCATTTGAGTTAATACAGTGGAAAACATCAATTTCATTTAAATGTTTAAAATTATCAGTTTCCTACAAGATAGCTAAATATTAAGTTTTTCAAAGTTTATATTAACATCTTTACTGTGTTCAACAAAAAATTCAATGAAGACATATCCCTTTGATCTTACCACTTTGCAGAAGCAGGCAGGGGGCAGGGAAAAATGGGTGAGCGGGCCTCGGGTGGCTGCTGCTGGAGTCTCTGACTCCTTCCTTCCGTGCCAGTTTTCCCCTTCCTGGTTGAGCCTGTAGAATGTACCACGCAGAGGGAGTGCCTCCTCCTGTTGTGGAATATAGCAAAATGTAGGAAAAGGATCATGAGGTCTGAGAATAAATGAGCAATGGGTGGTAAGGCTGGGTGACAGCTGGTGACACAGCAGAACTGAACCCCAGTTTTTATATATTGATTGCTCCATTCAGTTTGCTAACAATAGAACCTAATAGAGAGTATCTGTTTAGCTTAGTATAGTGGTTTCCAAATTTGGCCGATCACAATCAACTGGAGGTCTTGTAAATATAAATGCCCCAGCTCTAACCCCTCACACTGAGTTTAGAGTGTGGCCTAGGAATCTGCATTTTAAATAAGCTGTCTGAAGATGCTTATGGAGCCAAGTGAGCCTCAGCATCTATAAAGTGAAATAGCACATCAAGGTGATTGTTCAGTGTTCAAAATGAAGTTTTGAAAAAAGCTATTAGGTCTTTCACTTGTGACATACATGTACTTACTGTTTCCTCCTGCTCAGAGTAGAGAAATGAGTGCAATACTAGCCTCTATCACCTGGAAATACACTGTTTAATAGTTGAAATAAATCAAACTATGATGAATGCTGTTATTGAGGTATGTAGATAGTGTTGTAAGTGACCTAAAAGTGGACCAGTTAAGAACCTGGCAGTTTTATGGAAGCCTTTTAAAAACAATATATTTAAACTAGGTTTTAAAAAATGGTACAAGATGGGAACCAGCAGTTAGCGTAATGGCTGTCGCTGGACTCCCACATACATAGTCGACTGCGGTTCGCGTCCCGGACCCGGTGGCTTAAAACTCACGCCGGGCGCATGTGTGTGCGTGCCCAAGATCCCGAGAGGAGAATGGAGGAGAAGGGATTGCAGCGTGGCCATCCCTGCTGGGGGGTGATTTCTCACTTTCTGTCTCTATGTCTCTCTCTGTCTGGCGAGCGCACGCGCCCTATAGCGAAAATCTCTCCAAAAAAAAATGGTACAAGAGTTGTCACACAAAGACACTGATCTGCAAATATAGTTTGTTCAGATAATTAGAGAGAAATGAGATGGTGGGACATGAGGCCTGAGGGTGTAGACTGCAGCTCAGTGATCCAAGACCACATTTTCCATGGAAGTTTGGATACTGTCATCAGTGGATTTATACTGGGTGACTTCAAGTAGGAGAGCAGCATGGTCAGAATTACTATAGGACGGAAACCAGTACCATTAGGGAATTAGAGATGGAAAAGAGCAGGAAAGACCAATTGGGATGTTCTTGTAGCTAAAGAGGGGGACATAAAAACAAGTTAGACTGGAAAGTTAGAGGTGGACTAGAGATGTTTCAGAGGTTGAATCCATGGGAATTGGTGAGTCACAGTATGCCAGGGGGTTTATATGGCTTTGGGTGGGAGTCTTTATCCACGTTAGAGAGTAAAAATAAAAAGGTGTAGAGAGTGTAACTTACTCCTTTCTCTTATTCTTCCCTTTAGTCCACCAGTCCTAGCCATGCCGTGGTAGCCAATGTTCAGCATGTCTTGCATCTAATGAAGCAGCATAGTAAAGCTTTGTGCAATAATCGAGTAGTCAACAGTGTTCCTCTGGCAAAGCAAGTACCTTCACAAGGTGGTAAAAGTAAGAAGTCAGTAACGCCTCCCTCCTCCAACAGCATTAATGAAGAGCTGTCGGAAGTCTTACAGACTTTACAGGATGAATTTGGGCAAATGAGCTTGTGAGTTTTAGTTTTGTGTGTGTGGTGTTTTTTTCCTGTTATATTTCATTCTGAAACCTTATTGTTGGAACAGTTAAGAACTCTTTGTGTGCCTCCAGTGCCTTTCTTGAACTTTTAAACTGTCACTGAGCCATTTCTTAACACACAGCAGTTACTCCATGGTGAATGAGATGTACAGACTTAACCGTGAAACATAGCAAACTTAACCAGGCTGTACTTTCTGTCTTGTATATAGTGATCACCAGCAGCTTGCAAAACTTATTCAAGAGTCTCCAACCGCTGAACTGAAAGACAACTTAGAGTGCGAACTGGAGGCACTGGTGGGAAGGATGGAGGCAAAAGCCAACCAAATAACTAAAGTTCGAAAATACCAAGCCCAGGTAATAACTCAGTTTTCCTTTACTGAATTTTCTAGTGATTAAACACATTTTTCTTCAATATACTGATGACACTGTAAAATGTATCATACATAAAGAAATATTTCTTAAGATATTGAGTTCATTAATTAGTAAAAACTGTTAAGTAGATTAGGAAAGGGAGAACACTATCTTCTAGAGATTTCACGTAAATATCTTTCAAATACTGAATATATCCATGAATATATTTAAGAGTCTTATCCTTATGAGTAAGCTGTACGATGATGTTAAATGGTTACGTTTATTCAAGTATGTCTTTTAAAAGCATCTAGATTGGGACCAGCAGATAGAGTAATGATTACGTTGCTGTACTCTCATGTAGTCAACTGTGGTTTGAGGTCCAGACCTGGTGGCTTAAATTCACGTTGGGTGTGTGTGTGCATGTACCCAAAATCCAAGAGAATGGAGAAGGGTCTGCTGTGTAACCATTCTCCTTGGCGGGGGAGGGGGAGTGATTTCTTGCTTTTTGTCTCTGTCTTTCTCTGGTGAGTGCACATGCCTTATAGCAAAAATCTCTCTCTCAAAAACAAACAAACAAAAAAAGGCGCCTAGACTTTCTCAATTTCCAAAGGAATAAATCAGATATAATACATGCAAAAAATCTTATATTTATGTTACAAATTATATTAAATAAACCAACCATTTATGTTACTAAGTGCAGGGATCAGGGGTTTCGGTCCAGAGAGAAGCACAGCATTGCATGTATTGAAGTGGTTACTGTTGAAGTGCTGGGTGGGAGTAGGCTGCTGGCACCAAGGCAGAGAGGCTGAGACAGATAAGCTGCTTAGGTTTGAAAGAGTGGTTGTCACTTGGTCAGGATGGTAATTGGAACTGGGGAGAGGTGGACAAATATGACATGTGTCTTAGAAGTAGAAATATCAGGGCTACTTGCTGCTGGAAGGCGAAGAGTCATCATGAGGTTTTACCACTGATGACAGAACAGAACAGGCATGGCTGCCATTTATGGACTGGTAGCCATGTGACAGACAATACCAAGCCCTTTGAGTGTGTCATTTCATTTAATTTTTACAAAAGCACTGTGGTGTCAATGTAATTCTCATTTTACAGATGTGGAAACTAGGGCCAGGTTTTCTAGGAAATACATGTGTCCTCAGTGAAATGAAATAATTTTCTAAAACTAGCTTACTGGTAAATGGTGGAGCTGGGATACAGATTTGAGTCATTTCAACTCTAAAACCTAAACGTTGAAGCACTTTTTCCAAAGTTGATGTTAAAATACAAGCAAACGATCTGTTTATGGATAATAGTCTAATTTGTTTCTTGTACATGCCTTGTTCTAATGGAACACGAACAGGTTGGTAGCAGTGTAGCTAAAGTAAAAATAAAGTCTCCCCTACTTATTAATTCTGAAAATAGGGCCAACAGATGGCATGGAGGTTAAGGCAGCTGGATCCCAGCTTGATAGCCAACTGCAGGGTTCTAGTCTCCATCCCAGCAGCTTGGAAAACATGTGGGGGTGCATGTGAATGCCTGCCCAAAGGCCCAGGGGGAGAACTGAGGAGAAGGGAATGTGACATGGCCAACTCTGGTGGTTGACTTGCTCCCTCTCTCTCCAATGAGCACAAGTTCCCTATAGCAAACTAGAAGGAAAAACAATTCTAATAATAATGGAATAAAATAAAATTTAAAATCCTTCTCATAGAATACATTGCCACTCTGCTCATTTATCTGGAACTACAGATGATTAGTGCCTGCTCAGATGAGTTTCTTTCCGCTCCTTCATCTGCTTAAATCCATCCCCTTGTACCATTTTTACCTTGTCCACGAGTCCTTCCCTCAAGCCCCTCTTACCCTATTCTGCACTTTGGCAACACCGCCTTCCTTTATGATACATCACCAGAATTAATGTGTTTTTCTCTGTTTACTTTACTGTTTACACTTAAGTACTAAGTGTTAAATAATTAGTGCACAAGATTTTTGAAGAAAACGACTTAGGAGCCCACCCATGGTAGTGTGTGCTGGTTGGCACAGCTGTGTGGCAATCTGAGGTCACATGGAAAGCTAGGATTCTAATTCTTTGTCCGCTCCAAAAGCGAGGTGCATTGGTGCATCCCTGTAGTCCCAGCTCCTCTAGAGACTGAAGCCAGGGGATCGTGACATATGAAGACACTAAAAAAATTTTAAAACCCTGGGTATGTTATTTGAGTTTTAGTTAGTATAAGAGTTACTTACCTCTCCCCCCCCCCAATTACTGGTGTCAGAAGAGAATGTTTTCATTAAATTCTTTTTTTATTTCCTGTGGTTATTTGGTTTAGCTGGAGAAACAGAAGCTAGAGAAACAGAAGAAGGAATTAAAACCTACCAAAAAGACTCTTGATGAAGAAGGAAACAGTAGCAGCCGTTCTTCTGGAATCACAAGGACCACAAATCAGAAGAGTTTTGCCAAACTGAGACCTGGGGAAAAAAGCAGGAAAAATCTCCAGTTATTGAAGGACATGCAAATCATACAGAATTCATTACAAAGCAGTAATTTGAGTTGGGATTACTGACTACTACTACCAGGTCATAAATTTTATTCAGATAATCTTTACTTCATCAGTCAGATGTTGACAATTTACTTTCCAGGTCTCATGCTTAAGTTGAAATTAATTAATAGCAGGTTGTTAAGGGGCCCAAGCTTAATTACATAGGCTGCTTATGTCATGCAGCATGACTTAACATTAGGCCATTCAAATGGGAACCAGGAGAGTTCTAAAGCCTGAGAAGCCACACGTACTCTGTTACTTTGAGATGAATTTGTTGTACTGATTTATTGCACTTTGTAAACAAATTACCAATTTTTTACTTGTGGGTGTGATTTTTTAAAATAGTTCTTTATATACATACAAATAAAATTAGGTTAAAATTTTCAAGATTATGAGACTGTTCAATGAGCAGTGTTTGCTTGAAAAGTCTCATTTTAAAATCTTCCCCTGGCCTGAAGAACCCATTTCCCTTTTCCAGTACAACCATTAAATATACAGTGCTTCACCTATGATGAAGTTTTCTGTATTTAAATATTTATATATGTATTTAAGAGGATTTTTGTTTTGCTTATTGGCATTCCAAACATTGACCAGTGTTAAATGCACTTAACTTACATTGCTTTTTAATGTTTTCAAAGGCCCAACCAATCACTAAGTCAAATACCTGTAAAAATTGTTAAAGGATATTTTAGAGTATAAACAAATTATTAATGAAATAAATGAGATTGTGGAATAAATTTAGACTGGGACAGAGAAGGAAAACAATATGAAGCATATGATTTGTACTTTTTAAGTAATACCTTTTTGTAATCATGCTGTTCAGTCAAAGCATTATGGTTTTTAATTGTAGAGAACCCTTTTTCCAGTATACAGTGTAAGTGCAATACGAATTGTACATACACAATTGTCATACTATGTTAAGAGTGTCAGTCATAATTCTGAATAGATCAAGACATGTTAGTTTTTTATATATTTGCCCCTTAAGTCAATAAAGCAACTTTTTCAAGGAAATGCTGAAACTTTCCTTAATAGCCTGTTTAATAAAGGCTCTATTTTGTTATAAACTCTCAAAAACCACATTTCTAAATAGGATGTTAACACAGTGATTGAGACAATAACATAATTTTTAGTAATTTATTTGCCATTCTCATGGTAACATAGAAAGTAAACTCAAGCAGGTTGAATTGCTTTGTGGTACATGATCATCTAATGAACACAGCCACACGCTAAAGGGATTCCTTTTATATGACACCCTTGCAATTGACTGAGGAGTTTTAGGATGATATCTAAGTAGCCAGCATTAATTGTGGCTACCTGAGCATCTGCTTCTTGAGCCTCTTGTTGAATTAATTATCTACAGTTAAAAGTTCTTACTGAAGATTCTTAAATAAATTTTGGAGTATTTGTGAATCTCCTAAAAGTGTATGTAAATCTTTGCTTGCATGTATAGTTTTCTGATGAGCAGGATCATAGCTTCATCAAATTAACAACAGTGAGTCCACAGACCCAAGAAAAGGGAGAATCGCTGCCCTGGTGACATGGTAATGAGTCTCATGTCATTCAACTATTAAACTTTGTTATCTCCTTGTTTGAATTTCAGGTTGTTCAACTGTATAATGGTCATTTGAATTGTAGTGGCTCCTAACTAATCCCACCTCATCCCTCAGCTCAGATTCATAGTGAAAGAACCATTCCAGCTTTTGATACTCTCAAGTGAGAACTGAAAATAAGACTCCAGTTGTTTGGGAATTTAGAGGAATGTGTTGTCATCTATCCACTTATGTTGTAGTAGAACTTTCATGTATTTCAAATATAAGTGTCTCATGTAAGATGCTAACATGAGTACTGAGCTGAGTAAGAAAGGTATGTTTACGGGCTGAATCATTCATTTCAGTATAATATGAATGCGATGGCAGCAGCCAGGTACACAGTATCATGGGGGCAGAGGAAAGGGAAGAGACAGGAATAACTTGCAGGAGATGATGCTCAAACTCTAGAGACTAGGAATTAGCAACAAGGGGTAACAGTTATTCTAGGTCCACAAGCTAGAAGGAACAAAAATGGACAGGCAGAAATCTCTTTACAGAGGGAACCAGCAGTTAGCGTAATGGCTATGTCGCTGGACTCCCACGTAGTCGACTGCAGTTCACGTCCCGGACCTGGTGGCTTAAAACTCACACCAGGCGTGTGTGCGTGCGTGCCCAAGATCCTGAGGAGAATAGAGGAGAAAGGATTGCGGCATCTGTCTGGCGAGCGCACGCGCCCTATGGCGAAAACCTCTCAAAAAAAAAAAAAAATGTGTTTACAGAGAGGAACTGTGAATAGCAAAGTAGTGATGGTCTAAAACTGAGGCCTGCAAGTAAGAATAGGGATAGGCAGACTCAGTCACAGGAAGTTAACAAGCTACAGCCTGATCATATTTAGTCTCTAAATTTTTGTCCCTGATTATAAGGTAAAGTGTGCTTATACAAACAATATTCATAATAGATCATATGGTTATGAAATGTAGAACTGTTGGTCCAGTTATTAGAGTTGTGTGTAGATAAATGTATATAAAAAGTGCTAACACTCTTCCTCCCCTTCTACACATACACCAGCGGTTTATCTTGAATGCTCACGTGCATATACACTTCACACTGGAGATTCCTGAGAAAGTGAGGGAAACCACTGGCTGACTTTAAACAGAGAACTGACAGATTGCACTTGAGATTGCCTGGTTTTTCAGTGGAATATGAAGAGGATATGAGTACAGTAAGACCTAGGAACTTTTCAGTTCTGAATCTCTTTAGCCACCTAAATTCTTCTCTGAGGTATCAGACCAAGATGATAAAGGCTTAAGTGAGGAAAATGGTAGACTGGAAAGAATGGATTTGTAAAATATTTGGAGATGATTTCGTTTTAGTGCTGACTGGCCACTGAAGTAACCTGTTAAGATTTTTTTCTTAAAAGACATTTCACACAACGACCAAATCATTTTGGGCATCAACGTTGCTAACCTTGGATGTACTATTATTGGAAGACCAAAAGCTGGACTAAGATTTAGATCATAATGAATTGAGTGAAAAAAAATTTTTTTTGATTATTGTTTGATTTGAACACTAGAGGGGAAGACGATTTCAAATGAAATAAATATCCATTTGGGGTGGGTACTTCTCAAAAAGTGACCAAATAACATTCCTGCAAACAAAACCTTAAGGGGAAACAACTTTGGACAAAGACAAAGTTTAGAAGTCAGTTGACATTTCTTTTAATTAAAAGACCAAGGGACAGGAAGCTCCTCTGTTACAGTACATTACATATGGCTCTCATGTAGAGTAAAATAGACATCAAAGAGTCAAATGTTTGTAACCAGCACCAAACTCTTGTAGCAGGCGAAGAGTGAAGCAAGATTTCTTTTACTGGCATTGAGATTGTAATACATCTTTACATGCAACATGTTCTTTGGTAGACTTAAATCATTTGGAGATAGAGTATCTGCAAAGGAAACAAGTAGTAAAATATTTCTGGTAAGATCTGAATGCAGTACTTCTCACCATAAGCTATTTATAAAGACTTCAGAAAAGTCAATCCTGGTATAATTTTTAAATATGACCTAAAAATTTGCCAGTTAGCTTCTGTGTATTCACACACAAAATAAAAGTAATGTATAGTGGGATAAAGAATATTTAAAATTGTCTTTCTTGTTCTTTCTGGTAATTAGGCAAATGAAAGCAAATCTGGAGGGTGGGAAATTTTTTGAACTCTCGGGTGGCTACCACTTTCTCCTCTTCACCCTCCGCCAAGCACATTTACATAAGGCATCGTTTTGGGAGAGCTAATACCTCTTAAGTATATAAATAATGACAGCAATAACTTTCCACTGTGGGTACACAGTAATATCCTCATACTTTGCCTTTCACTATATGACGAATGTGGGGGTAAGACATTTTCCTTTTAAAATTAGAAACTTGTTTCCATTGTGAATCCAGGATTGAAGTATTTTAATATTCTTTGGGTGACTTATAAGATTAGTGTCATAATCATGTAATTACATATAGAGTTATTTCACTTAAGCCATTTGGACTGCTATAGTTCTAAATTCATCCTAGAGAGACTTAAAATAAATAAAGCGACTGAACTCTCTCCTTTAGATGGGTTCTATATTCGGAAGACTTTCTACTCATAAAGCTGCCACTGTAGTGATGAGTTTCTAGCAATGATGCCCCAGTGTCATTGTCCTTTCATACAACAGTCTGCACAGGAGTGACACACTGTGCAGGAGAGCTGGCTCTCTCTGAGGATGAGGTTGATCGGTTGGAAATTTCTCTCTGTAGTTCCTCCACTTTTTTCTGAAGCTCTGCTCTTTTAGCAAGAAGTTCTTTGTATCTGTTGTGAATAGGTTCCTACAACAACAAATGATAAAATTATTCAATCAGGCATTCCTAACCAAGCCCAAGGTTAAATTATTCCCTAAAGGTTGCAGTGTGTGGTTTTTCAGCTGTTGGGACCAGCCTTGCCTCTCCAACCCATCAGTAGAAATTAAATTCAGAGACTGTTGATGCCACTGTCCTATCATTGGCTTTCCCAGTGCCCTCAAGTATTTCCAGAGAATACCTGTTGTAGACATGTTCCTAAAACTAGTACTTTTCCAAATATGGCAAATAATTAACACAGTTAAAGCTAATACTCACAAGATTCCCTATCCTTTAGTTGAGGATATTTAGTCTTAAACGCTTCTAAGTAGTAAATATAACATCTTCACAACAGACCAGAATGTTGTTAGAGTTTACAGTTTCCTAAAGCTGTTTTCTTCAATTTATTAAAACAAGACCTCTAGCCATTATTCAGACAAGAAGGAAAGAAGAGTCATACAAACAACAGAAGTATTAAGAATTAGGTATACTGATCCCCCAGTGTAGTGCAATTAACACATAGAAGGGAAGGCTTTAAATATGACCAGATAATTTTGCCAGTTGCTTTAAAGGGGACAAATGTAATAACGTTGCATCGCACAAAACTCCCATCACATACTGTAATTGTGTGTGTATACCTGTGGTTTCATCCGTGGATTCCACCTTATGTAATATCCCACCCAGAGCTCTAGGTGGCGCATGCTGGCTACTGGATAGAGGACATGATTGGAATAGCTCCCATAGAGAGGATTAGTAAAGTCTTCCAACTGGCTATTTATGTAAGACCATAGTGACACGGTCCTTTTAGGAAGATTCTGCAAGAAGGAAAATAGGTAAAGATTACCCACCATATAAGCTATTTGTACTTTACGTGACATTTGTAAAAAGGAATTTTGTGATTATTTAAATCTCTAGAGTAGATTTAGATCTATGAGTGATCTACTTATATTAAAATCAGAGAGTGATGGAAAATAGTCTGTAGTTCCTCAAAGAATTAAAGTTACCATATGACCCAGGAATTCCTCTCCTTACTATATATTCAACATAAATGAAAACATACAAAACTCACAGGTGTTTGAGCACCACTAGTCATAGCAGGCAAAAAAAACCCAAAAAACAGCAAACACCCAAAAGTTGTATCAATCAATAAATGAATAAATAAAATAAATCTACACAATGGAATATTCACCCATTTAAAAATGAAAAAGACAAAGTGTGGATAAACCTTGGAAATGTTATACTGAGGGGAAAGATCTAGACACACAGTTCACATGCTGCACGATTCCATTATACGAAATGTCCTGAAGAGACAAATCCGGAGAGACAACAAATTAGCTGGGAGGAACGGAGATGGAGAAAGGTTGCCAACAGGTATGGAGTTTCTTTTAGAGTGATGAAAATGTTCTGAAATTAAATAGTGGTGACAGTTGTACAACTCTAGATGTAATAAATACTAAACTATGCACTTTAAATGAGTGGATTTTACAGTATGCAAATTGTATCAGTGAATTTCTTTAATCAAGACAGTGCATCTTACAAACTCCTCAAAAGATGTTAAGTATCTTCAGAACTTAACTCTGCTGTTAATTATGTCTAACATTCCATAAATTACTGAGTGCCTACTATGCATAGAAATACTTATTCCATGCTGCACTGAAGATAAAATGGTGACTTAAAAAACCTAATACCTACCGTAAAAGAACTTACAGTCTAGGAACACTGATGGATAGATGTATTTTGAGAAGTAAAACTTGAAATGTAATACTTATACCATGTTAGTAATCCCAGCCACTTAACAACAATGTCTCTGGGGAGTGGGGTAATGAAAAACTTAATTTTCTACATAATACCTTTTCCATATTTATTTGAGTTTTTTTAGTGTTACTATATAAGCCCAAAAGCTTAGCCTAAAATGTCTCAGTTATATGTAGAATATGTTGTGATCTGAGATGCCTATTCATTCAAACATATGTTTTCTGTTAATTATATTTTTCTGCATCTGCTTTGAAGGATTTCTCTTCTGCATGGACTAACAGGCACACTGGTGCTCCTTAGACCCCACGTATTTCAGTTCTTTTTAGCAGACACTACTTCTCACCCATGAACTCAGCGACAGCTCGGGGACATCTTTAGCCTTGTGACAGAAGTCCTCCAAAACAGATCAGGTCCAGATATATGAAATTAATCTCATTACTACATATGAGATCAAATATGACCCCAAAAGAACACTGGTTGACATTTATCACAGAGTGCATTTTTGTAGGAAAAGCACACAGTGGGGTAGAGGTGGAAGGGTCATGGCTTAGATTTTTTACCTCTTTTCCTCTCTGCTGTTCACTGTTACAGAGGAATGTTCCAAATAAACAGCTGTATAGGTGGTCCAGAATGGTAATGAGAAAATATTCATTGAATTCAAATGCGGTAGGAAACTGCACATTGAACACAAACAAAAAATTAAGACATTTTTTCAAGCATATTCATCCCTGTTGTGGATAGATCCTTTGTAATAGTATTTAAAATTTAACCACATTGAAAACTATGTGTTTCTAAGCTATTATGGAATTCTCTGCTTTTCTGAGGTAATTTCTCCCAGAATCTCCTTGTCTCACACAGCAAGAGTTAGAATACTGGGACCACGATGTTTCTGTAATCCTCTATAACTAAACCTGCAGGCTGCAGAATTGGGACTTGGATAATTCTGAGAACTCCATTCTTTCTCTGCCCCCAAATGACCTTAAAAACAACATAGCAAAGTTTTTCTTTTAACATTCAGTATCATAGTTTTTTGTTCTCAAGGATTATAAAAAAAAAAATCAGTATGTCTACAAAAAATGTCGGCAATACACGAAAATTAATATCTGAGGCAGATGAATCAGAATCTCTTAGAATCCACCACTTTGGCAGCATCTTTTTTTAAAAGAGTTTTTTAATTTCATTTATTATCATTATTATTTGTTTAATCTGACCAGAGAGAGAAAGAGAATGGGAAAGTAGGAAAGCAAGCCTCCAGGTCCAGGACTCAAACAGTGGTCGGCCATCAACCAGCACCTCAGCCACCACACCTACTGCCAGCCCCGGCAGAATACAAACTCTTATCCAGACAAAGGGCTTGACTAGATATCTTCATTTTATACAACGTAATTTTGGAGGACTCATTGAAGGAAGAATGGCACATGCTAGAATGTTAAAGGGTTTAGTTTATTCCAGAATTATATGGAAGCTTCTAAGTACAATTGTGAATTAACAGCGCTCTGAAAAGGAATCCTATGAAAATGTACATATTGGAGAAACATAGTTCCCATGTTTTTATTTCTTACAAGGATCCCAAAACTAGTGGAGAGAATACTGGGCTTTCAGAAAAGTCATGATGTACTTTTCTGTTTTTCTGCGCAAAACAAGTGTTATGACTTCTCCAACAACCCAATAGCATAAACTGCATGCAAAAGGGACAGGATGAAAAGAACTTTGCTTTGAAATTTACTGAATTTTAGGAAGCTATAGGCAGGGTAACTTGGCAGATTTCTCAAACTAGAAAAGGCAATTACTAGGCCTTGAATACTTTTTATGGCTGTGAAGCTAGTGATCAAGCATGTGTCAACAACAAAAAAACAAATCTAGACACTTTATCAAATCCCATTCATTCATGTAAAAAATAAATTCCATCTCCTTTATATGTTACATGATCTTAACAGTCTTATTTATCAGTCAAAGAGGGATGCATCCTGGATCAAAAATAGCAACCCCAAGGATTCATTTTTCTTTGTCTTGGCAGAACTATTAGCTCAGTTATGAGAAGACAATTGATCAGTGGGCATTTTCTCACAGTGAAACTAAAACAGCAGAGCATTAACTCTTTCTGTTGCTTTCTAATCCTGAGGAAGAGTATTTTGTGTTCTTACAGGTTTAAATTCAATGATTGCTGATTCTAGGAGGGAAGGGATAGGGATGCATATGAGAGAAGGGGGAAGAGGCTCGAGAATCTGACAAATGACAACATAATTGATCCTATTTTGACAAATGTACTACTTCAGTCTTTAGAGGACTATTCAATTACTTATAAACTGAAGACTGCAAATAAACATTATGACTAGATATACTTTAAAGTTCAGAAAGAAAATATGCAGAAAAACATAAATAGGTATCTAAAATATAAGGCAACTCTAAAGTATTTTTAAGTTTTTTTTTTTAACCAGATTTAAATTATTTTCTCTGCCAGTCAAAATTTGTATCCAGGATGGTATCAGCTCCTGCCCCTTTCCCCAACCCCCACAGGTGCCATAAAGGACTCTTGTCCTCCCAAGGTCGGGGGCAAAGGGTCTCACTGTCTGGCCCTGGTGTGGGGGAGAGTGGGAGGTGGGGTCTGGGAGCTAGGAGGGGTGTTCTGAGATTAAAGAGTTTTACCTCTGACCAAAAAAAAAAAAAAATTATTTTATTTACAGGTTCAGCTTAGGGTTAAAATGCTTTTACATGTATACCATATAAAAAGCTAAAAAAATTATTAAGGGATAGGAACCAGCAGTTGGCATAATGGCTACGTCACTGAACTCCCATGTACTCGACCGCAGTTTGAGTTCCAGACCCGGTGGCTTAAACTCACGCCAGGCATGTGTGCGTGCATGCCCAAGATTCTGAAAGGAGAATGGAGGAGAAGGGACTGCAGCATGGCCATTCCCCGGAGGGGGTGATTTCTTGCTTTCTCTCTGTCTCTATCTTTCTGGTGAGTGCACTTGCCCTGTAGCAAAAACCTCTCCAAAGGGAAAAAAAAATTATTAAGGGAGAAATACTGTGTACTCTCAGTTTTTAAGGTGAGCGAATGTGTGCTCACTGGGGGGAGACAGACAGAAACGAAGTAAGAAATCACCCCTTCGAGGGATGACCACAGCACAATCCCTTTACCTCCATTCTCTTTCTGGGATTCTGGGCACTCACACACACACACATGCACCTTGTGTGATTTTCAAGCCCTCAGGTCCTGGACTTGAACCATGGTCAGCCACCATAGCAGTTCAGTGCCATAACCACTATGCAACCGCCTGTCTCTGTACTCTTTTTTACAAAAGACTGGTAAATATGACTTTTTTCCCTAACATCCCAGAACTAATCGTTTAAACATGTCTCCGTGTTTAAGGTGTTCACCTTGGAAAGGAGCACTCTTTACCACCAAGGCTGCCACGGATTCAGAGTTTTCCTGCTCCTCTGATGGCATGTTTGGTTTCTGCCAGAAGTCAAAGGGTGTTTAAAGCCAAATATGATAATGGTTAAAAGTGAATTCTATGCTTTTGGGTCATAAGCCCAAATAGGATGGTAGGGATCCATGTAGCTGATAAACCACCTCCAAGGCAACTGCGAAGGAAAAATGCAAACCTACTCCAGTGAACATGGTGAACTATTTATCGTAGCATCTTTCCTCCTTCCCAACTCCCAGCACACTAAGGGCCTAATTTATACAACGAAACTGACTTACATACACATTTTCAGCATGTATTAAAATACAGTGTCATCATACTGTACTATCTAGGACAGTGCTTCATTTACACAGCAAGTTTTAAAGTGATCCATCCAGGCTGAAATGCTTATGAGGGTAAAACTGATGAAAAAAATTTTTATCTCACCTGAGGCTTACTACTTTCTGTTTGTGAAATAAATAGTATTGAAGCTAAGATATGATCCTAAAGCCAAGCAGAGCCAATCACTGTCCTACTTTATATTCATGTGGAAGTCTAACTAGAAACAATCCAGACTCCTAGTTGTTTGAGCCCTATAAAACTCTTGGGTAAATAATTAACTCACACACCACTGAGGCGCATTCAACTTTTGGGTTCTGAGGTGATTTTTCTTGAGTCAGTTAATTTTTTTTTTTCCTTTTGAGAGAGAGATTTCTGCTATAGGGTACATGCACTTGCTGGAGAGACAGAGAGACAGAAAGCGAGAAAGCACCCCCCAGGGGCTGGCCATGCCACAATCCCTTCTCGTCCATTCTCCTGTTGGGATTTTGGGCACACATGCTCATGTGCCCAGCGTTTTAAGCCACTGGTCCAGGACTCAAAGTGCAGCTGACTTAGGTGGGAGCCCAGCCATGTAACCATTATGCCATCTGCTGGTCCCAAATTTTATATATGTATATATGCATGTGTGTGTGTGTGTATATATGTATGTATGTGTGTGTGTATAAATATATATATATATATTATATATATATATATTTTTTTTTTTAGAGGTTTCTGCTGTAGGGTACGTGTGCTCACCAGAAAGACAGGCAGG